AGTGGTCACTCTGGATGGCACCAAGCTGAGGGAAGGGGCGGGGGTATGTGTGTGTTTAAATTCAGATACTCATCATGAGACAATCTCTGCATATGTTCTTCATTTGACTCAAAACAATTTAGGGCTGGTTATACTTTATTGCATAAAACTGGATCATGATGTAAGAACTTGTCTGAAAGAGAAGAAGTCAGTTGAACTACAGTTCAAGATACTTAGGCCGGATCCTGAAAGGTCTTGACTCAGGGAAGGTGCCTTTGCCTGATTTGCGGGGCTCCTTTTTTTATATCTCAGCAAGTGCCCCCAGACCCTCTGTGTAGCTTGTTCTCAAGGCTTGTTCCTGCAGGAGGAGGTAGGGAAGTTTGCTCTGCAAACCCAGTTACTGAAAGATGAAAAAGAGCATCCAAAGGCCCAAAACAAAGGCACTTTGCAACAGCCTTCTCCAGCGAAGTGTCCCAGAACATTCTGGGCTTCAAGCCCTATCAACTCCAACCAGCATGGCCAAGGAAAAGGAATGCTGTGAGCTGTAGTCCAAACATCTGAAAGGCATAACGCTGGGAAAGGCTGCTTTACCAAGTACAAAAGGACAGGTTCCTGCCCCAAGGAGCTTACCATTTAAATTGGATGCAACAGAAACCGTATGCTGTAGGAAAGTGGAGTCAGCAGGAAAGTGGAGGCAGGGGTAATCAGAGATGGAATGAATATGCAATTGTTTCAGTTACATGTGGATTAGTTACAGGCTAAGTTACAACAGGGCCTTCAAGCCCAAGGCTTATGCCAAAGACTACACAGAAGATGGGCTTTGAGGGGATGACTTGAAGAAAGGAAGAGAGGTGTTCTGGGAGGCAGTTCCAAGCATATGGGACAGCAAGGAAGAAAGGGAACAGTCTAGTGAAGGAGCAGGAGACCCGCCAGGTGATAAGGATGGGGCAGTGGCATGTTGGGAGACAGGTGGAGAAAGGCCAGCAAAGGCTTTGGAAGTAAAGCCAAATGGCTTCTCTTCGCCTTCGCCGGTGTTGACAGGAAGCCAGTGCAGATATTTAAGGAGGTGCATCCTGTAAACAGGGTGACTAGAGAGATGAATTCTTTTGGCAGTAAAATCCTGGGTGAACAACATGAGCAGACCAAGGTCTGAAAAGAGGCAAACAGACAAAAAGTCCAAAATGGTCTAAGTGAGAAGGCTTTGCTGAGAGAATGGCAATATTTTTGCAATTGGTATGATGCATCAGTGCATTCAGAGCAGATCTGGCATTGTCAACAAAGGTAGCAAATTTAATCACAGGACTTTGGAGGGCTTAAATCTCTGTATCGTGCTAGCTCACATGGGGGAGAGATTGTGTGTGTGTGATGTGCGTGCATCTGCTTATCTATATTTGTGTGCGTGTGTATGTATGTGTACCTGGACGTACACCATCTCTGGTATGTATACTTAACTTGGACTAAGTCCTGGTGGATTAAGTGGGGCTCATTTCTGAGTAGACAAGCATAGAATTTCATAGTAAGTCTCACTGCTGTAGAATCAGGATGATGTTTTGAGAGCTACAGAAGGGAGATAAAGATTTGTTTCATGATTGCTTTCAGACAACATCCAATTATTAGATCTCCTGACAAAACAACTATTTTGTTATAACAGCTCGGATATACTCCTGCACAGGACTTTAGGTAGCAATGACAACACAAAATTGCACAAAGTTGCTGATTGCACAGTTGCTCCAGAGCATCTCTGCACTTAAGCATATGCTTCCTCCTTTATTGGCTTTTATGAGGGGCTGCGAGGTGGAACAGCTCATAAAGTTCATCTTGCTTTTAATCTGCCAAGCTAAATTATTGATTTGTGTCTGGTGGTTACTGTTTTTGCTTTGAATTACTGTACTTCTTGCTTTAACACTGTGCTTTAATACTTTCCTGTTACATAACAAACGATAGATGACTGCTGTTAATGTGTTGGATAAATAAATGAGGCTTGGTCATCATCATCATCATGGGAAAAGGGCTTTTGGCCCTCATTGAGTCAGCATGGGGTACTGCTTGGAGTGTCAGGTGGGACTCAGGAGAGCGAAGTCCCCACTCCGCCATGGGGCTCCCTGGGTAATTTCGGGGCTGTCATGGACTCTCTCAGGGTTGAGACGATGAAATGGAAAGGCAGAAGAGGTCTGTGACAGCCACTAACAACTCCTTGCAAGAGGAAAAAACCTGGCAGGGAAACGTAGAAATAAATGCCTTGCCACACTCCATCTATGTAAAACATTTGCAGCTATCTTTTCATGATAACTAGGGTGGTGTAGACATCACCTTCTCACAATGAGGGAGTAGACCTGTACACACTGCTGGCACTTCCAGGCTTCTTTCGCGAATTCGCACATTCAGCAGGCCATTGGCCAGGTACAGAAGCTGTAGGCAGGTAGGTACCGCCTTCCCAATTCTAGCTGATACAGAAGGCCAGGCAGGTCACACCACCGATGGGGTGGATGCATTTCCAATTTTCTCTCCACCTCCATTAAGTTTTCACAGAGTAGGGATGGCTGAACAACCTTCATGATCACGTATATCATCTATTACAACACCTCCTATTACTGACAACAAAATAATGTATTTAAAACAACAGTCTTCAGGTGTCTGAACTTTAAATGAAAGTGTTGCAAACAAAATTCTTGTAACGCTTGAATGATGAATTACAAGGCAAATTGTTTAGGCAGGCAGGCTGAAGCATCCCTGTCGGAAGCAAAGGAGCATTGTTGTAGTGATGAAGAGTTTGTGTCAAGTGGGGGAAACCCTTCTGATATGAAGCACATCAAAAGCTCTCCTTAGAAAATTTTAACTGAAGAATGAATTTTATCTGCTTGCAGGTATTACTGAGTTACCCTGAAACCACGTCACATGTACTGGCATTTCCAAATAATCCCTGTCTTAAGATGCAAGCCTGAATGAAACCTTCCTTGAATATGGTAACTAATGCTGGAGTTTAAAATACTATTCTAAGAAATTGCCTCTTTTTAACAGAGAGGTGAGAGCCAATTCCTGCTCAGTTTGCGCATACAACCGTGGTCCTTGCAGTTATAGGCCTAACATTTCATTTTCACACTAGTCTAAGTGACCACTGTTCCTATAGCCTCTAGAGGCTATAGAAAAGAGACTATTTATGAAGCTCAATTATCTCCCCTCCCTTCTTTCCTTTCTGATTTACTGCTTTTCCTGACCTGTCTCAATTTATTTATTTATTTAATTTGGGTATTTTTACCCTGTCCAATAGCCAGTGGGCTTTACAATTTATTTATTTATTTATTTAGAAAATTTCTATGCCGCCCCATTCACCGAAGCCTCGGGGCGGCTCACAAAACATCAAATCCAAATTCAAATCCAATAAACACATACATACCCAAATAATACAAATAATCCACGAACTGAGCATAAAACAGTTACAATTGAACATTAAAAGTAGGGAAGAATAAAAAAGGTCTTGACCTGGCACTGAAAAATATATAACGTTGGCACCAGGCGGTCCTCTCTGGGGAGCACATTCTATAGCTGGGGTACCATTGCAGAGAAGGCCTCAATCTCTTCCTCAAGCGTAAGATAAATGTACATTACTGGAGCACCCTCTTGAAGCATTTTTAGAGGATACCCTAAAACAAGAGTGCCAAAGATATGGTCTAGCTGCAAGCAGCCTTGACAGATTCCCAGCATCTGCTGTTAAAAAAGAAAAAAATGTGTGGAGCAGAAAACTCCTTCCATGATCATCCTAGGAAGCAGTGCAAAAGGTGCCAACCAGCTTCCTATGGCACTTTGGAAACACTTTAGGACAAGGCCGTTATGGAAGGGACCTTATACTCTGTTACTATAGAGTGGGATTTTTTTCCCCCCAGTAGTTGTGGAGGGTAGACTTAAAGCTGGGAGCTGGGAGTGAATGTGTGTGATGTTGGGAGATAGATATGAGTTGATGTGGTCGGGATGAATGTGTGTGAGATGGGGAAGCATCATGGGACATGATCCCTGACAGATCACCCCTAAAGGAATGCAGCAGAAATTGCCTGCACCTGTCTTAACACTGAAGGTTTTAAAATATTAGATTATGTACAATAGAAGAGACAAGCAAGTATGTACTTGTGTGCATATGTGCTGCACCCAGAGAAAAACTGTTGCACACCTCTGCTATAAAAGATGGGCACAAGAGGCCTCATCCTCAGCCATTTCAGCAAAGGAAAGCTACTCACAATCCAGCCCCTTGTTTTCAACTTCTTCCCTTTTCAGCAGGAGCCCAGTGCTTTCCTTGGAGGAAGGTCACCACTTAAGGATATTCAGATGAATGTGTTTGGACACAGACAAGGACTGCACATAAACTCAGCAGAGGCTGTGCTGAGGCAACACCATAAGGGCTAAGTAGAACTATCACCGAATCCTGCCGTAGGGTGTCTTCACAACAGTGTATCTCCCTTTCCTCAGTAGCTGTAAACTCAGGGAGGTGTTGCAATAGCTGTAAACTCAGGGAGGTGTTGCAATGGTAGGGAACAGTGAGAACTGTCAGTTCAGCCCTGAAAAGCCAGAGGGTTGCGTTGCTGAGAAGAGACAAGACTGAAATGTTTATGGTAATTGACGAGGAAAGACTACACATACCAAGAATTAACTGCACCTTTGCACACCAGCAAAAGACTGACCCAAAAAAGAAATGGAGTTACACAATTTGGCAGGGGGGAGATGGAAAAAGAAAAAGTTGATGAACTATGAATGGTCTTGCTGAGTAACTCACTAGCCAATCCTCGCAAGCCACAATGGATCAAACAATACCTAGAACGAGCTTGTTGCACAACCATTAGGCATCTGAAAGTGGCCATCAAAACCACTCACTGTGAATAGTTAGACACGATGAGTTGTCATGTTGTGCAAACCCAGTCAGTGAGAATGAACTTTTAAAAACAGAAATAATGAATCTGAAAGTAGCAGTGGCTATTTAAACTCAAAACAAAACAATGGGAATTGAACTTTAGAGTTGTCCAATAACAGGGAAATCATATCATAAAACATTTTAATGTAAATACTTCTTCACATCCATGAAATGATAAAACTATGTACAACATTTTATTTGCAGTTTGGTCACTTTTACATTAGCTGTAGACATCTGCAGATGCTCTTCAGTGGAAACAGGTATCCACCTTACTCAGGCATTTAATGGCAGACTGATTGCACATGTTCCTTCTATGCAATGCTCTCCCATAGTGCAATGTGCCATGAGTAAGCACTTCATATTTACATTCCCCTGTTTATTTATGGCTCAACAACAACAAAAAAGAAACCCAAAACAACAGTAGCACTTTCAAACCTGAACACTGCCTAGTACAGAATTTTGTAAAATGTGTGCATTCACTTCTATTTTCAGCCCTGATTCTTTTTTTTTCTTAGATGTCAAATGTGCAACAGCAAGCCTAATTACTCTAAACTATTCTAGAACTGCTCCTAAATCAGGGAAATTGCACTGCACTCCTAGAATTTTCCCTCAAATCAAGGCACTTTTCTGAGCAATGACAACATCTCTTCTTGTGATTACAGAATATTTCTAGCCAGGAAAACCCATCTGTTTCTCTGTTGAATGATAATGAAAATTTCTGCACACAGTTATTGAATCATGACATCTTCTACATATACAGAGTATTTTAGCCAGCAAAATTATTTCCATGTTAGGACAATTCAATGGCCTTCGCACACAGAATTGCTACGTACATTCACAGTTTTCATGGACTGTAATTAGCTTCTCCAGTTGTGCTTTTAAAATTCCAGGATCCCCACCCCCACCCCACTAGTAAGTGCAAAGCAAAATGTCCTGTGCAGCTACAATGGTTGTAGAGTTATGAACTCCAAATTAATGAGAATTCTCTTTCATTCTCCATTTTCTTCACTTGTCTTTTCAGGTATGGCCTCCAGACTTTGACGGGGCTTAGAGGACTCAGCATTTTCAGATCCTGGTTTATTCAGCCCACATGAAACAGTGGCATAGTGGATTTGTTTCAGGTTGTCCAGTGCCTCATTTCTTGCATATTTGAGAAGATCAGCCTGGCCCTGTTAAGAACAAAAGCAGTCACAACTATCAATAATGAGCCTGTTTTCTGGCCTTGATTTATTATATATAACAGTACTGTTAATGAAGATGAAAACTTTATTACTTTGAGCCAAGATTCATGCAAATATGTTGCTGGATTTCTTTTTACCCAACTTAAATAAAGTAGAAAAGACAAGACTCTTTCCTACCAAAAATTCTTGGCAAAGGAATTTTACTAGAGTTTTAATGTTCTGGAAGGAATCCAAGAAACCACAGAAACCCTAAGAAGTTTATTATTGCTTGTGATCCTCCAACCACTTGCAACGTTCACATACTGGGCTTCTTTATTCTCTGTTACAAGGAAATGCAAACTCTGTGTACCCAACTGAGAACTCCTAAGTGTCCGAGCAAGTCTTGCTTTTAGAAGAGAGAACTGGATACACATATACAGAGACACGAAGGCGTGTGCACACATGGAAGCTCTAGTCCTGCTTCGGATTATCGTTGCTTGGCCCAGAGTACCACATGTTTGCAAGACAGCACTGTCTGTGCATGAGAGGTCCTGCACCTGTAAACAGCCTTGGCATGGAGATGCATGATTTATCGGGCTACCTTTGTATTCGTGCTGGTATTTTAATAAAATTGGCATCTGGGGAGGGTTGAGAAGACTGATTCTGCCTAGAAGTACTAGAAACAGTTTTGTTTTTTAATTGGCCTCTCTTGTGAACTGTTGGTAGTATGGCATCATAGCTCTCCTCAAGGATAAAGGAAATTTTCTTCTAACACTTCTAATTTTCTTCTAATTAAGTATCCTTAATTTCTCTCAAGGTGGAATGCTTTGCAGAGCAGAACACCACAAGCACAGTGGAGTTCCAGAATTACAGGAAGGCAGAAATTGCCCTACCTTAGGGCTGCACAGATGCCAAACAGAAACAGCCTGAACAATATAACCAGGGTCTGGGGACAGACGGCAGCCCTTACAGATCTAGGGAAGCTGTTAATTGTTCACATGTTTATCCAGTGATAAATATGTAATATTTTTATAAATTCAAGAGGACTAAATTGTTTTTTGCCTGAGTCACATAAGGGGAGAACTGGGGGCAGGGCAGGACCCTGGAAACTTGCATCTGGCAATTTAAGTTTCTTCTTTAAGAAGGAATATTTATCCACAGTATTTTGGCTTCAACGGCACTTTTGAACCCATCGAAAAAGAATTGATGTCTTTGTATTTTCCCATAAAAACTGAAACAAAGAAAGTTAATATAAAACATTCTAGTGGAGTAGATGAATCATAAAGATTTCCACAAACTTCATCACTTGAGGTTTATTCTGACTTTAGTCAGTTCACTCTGTTTGGTTTCAGTTTGTTTAAAGACAAGCTGTGCAAAGTTGACTTTTGCATTTGCTAAAATAAACCGAGTGACTTGGATGTTGGGTGCAATCTGCAGAACGCTTAAAATCCAACTGAAGCCCCACTGAAATGAACAGAAGCTTTTAATAAAAAGCAAGTTTGCTTTTGCCTGAAGTCTGCACATTTCTGTTACTGGTAGATTAATTTAGCTGTTACTGTCAGGAAATTGAGAGGCAAGTAACCAGCCATTTGATCTTGGGGTGACACTGGGACAAGACACCCAACCTCCCTCTACTGCAAATATTCATCTTTACTAACACACTTTCACAAACATAATCTTTGTCTCAGCTAATAATATACCATGCCTCATACTGAGAACAAAACAAGTTTGGATCATAGAAACAAAGACATCTCCCAGATAGCATTAGGATGTGGAAACACATGCCACTGCGCATATGTCCTTTACGCCAAGCTGCTATTTGTGCATCTCACATAGCTAAATCCATTTCTATACAGAGACTGTATTCTCTGGATCAGGGTACAGATGCTTAACTGAATTTTATACAGTATGTTGTAAGCCTTTCAAATAGTCATCCTTTGTTTGTCTACTGGGAACACTTCTGATTTAGTTTATGTATTTAATGAATTTATCTGCTGCTACAGTAGCTCATATCTGGGCTCTCTCACACTATAAAAAAATAGAATATTCTAAAATCAATAACATTAAATCAACATATAAACCATAACACATAATCCAAATATAAAATATATCAAAATTAAAATATAATATAAAGCATTAAAAACAATTAAAACTAAAATTCACTAAAACCAAATAGGATCAGTTTTAAAAACAGTAGCCATTAAAATCCATTTTTAAAATAACTAGAAAAAAGGTAAGTCTTCGCCAGGCGTCAAAATGCTAGCAATGTCAGGCCCTTCTCTCTGAAGAGCCTATTCCAGAGTTGGCGTGCAATGCTGAGAAGGCCCTTCTAACGTCTCCCTCACCTCCTAGGAAGAACCTTAATGGACTGGTAGAGACATAAGGGGGCAGACAGTCCTTTAGGTACCCAAGTCCCAAGCTACAGGATTTATAAGTAAGTACAAGCATTTCAAATTGAGCCCAAAATTCCACAGGTAGACCGTGTGGTTGGTATAAAACTAGTGTGAGATGGACTTATGGGCTAGTTCTCATCAGCAATTGTGGGACCCTAGTTTGAACCAGTTGGATTGTCCAGACCATTTTCAAAGGTAATTCCATGTAAAGCATGTTACAATAATCCAACCGGGATGTTACCAGGGCATGTGTAACTGTGGCTAGGCTTTGCCTGTAGAGATGTGGTGATGGGTAAAGTAGCTGCAGTTGGAGGAAGGTGCTCCTGGCCACCAAGTCCACCTGAGACTCAAATGAGAGTTTTAGATCCCCCCAAACTGCAGATTCTACCCTTGAAGGGGAGCACGGCCCCATCTAGGGCAGGGTGTAGGCCATTCAACCCATCTGCCTAACCACCCTCAAAGAGTACTTATGCCTTGTCTGTATTGAGCCTCATCCAGTCCATTACCAAGCTCAGGCACGGTTCAAGACAGATATCACCTCACCTGGATTTGATGTAAACAAGTGGTAGAGCTGAGTAGCATCAGCATATTGCTGTGACCACAGCCCACACCTCCAAATGACCTCTCCCAGCAGTTTCATGTAGACGTTAAAGAGCATGGGGGACAGTACAGAGCTCTGCAGAACCCCACGGCACAGCAACTGTGCCCCAGCATTACCTTCTGGACTTGGTTGGCCAGGTAGGAGCAGAACCATCACAAAGCAGTGCCTCCAACCCACAGCCCAGCCATCCTGCCCAAAAGGACACCATGATCAATAGTGTCAAAAGCAGCGGAGAGCTCCAAGAGAACCAACAGGGTTGTGTAGCAAAGGTCATCTACAGGACAATCAAGGCAGTCTCCATCCTGAACCCAGGCCTGAAACCCGACTGAAGTGGCTCTGTTTCATTCAGAACTACCTGTAGCTGCTTGGCCACCACCTGCCCCAACACCTTGCTCAGAAAAGAGAGGTTTGCCACTGGTCTATAGTTGGTAACAACCCCTGGATCCATGTTTGGCTTTTTAAGAAGAGGTCTTATCACAGCTTCCTTTACAGAAACTGGGACCACTCCCTCATTAACCCTAGCCCAGGTGCAAACCGCTTCCTTAGATTTTCCAATGAAAGGCAAGGGTCAAGTGGGCAAGTAGTGGGACAAACAGCACCAAGCATCCTGACCTCATCGTCAGACCACAGAAACTGAAATTCATCCAACATGTTTATTTACAAGCCCCACTGAAATGGTAGAATCCTTATCCATTTCAGTAAGTCTTACAAAGGATGGGTTCCTGATGTTCTTGCTAAAATACATGCCTTTGTTGTGACAAAAATTATTGCATAGGGAACATAACTGCACTGCAGACCTGGTTTAAAAAGGTGCATCTCCAGTCCTTTTCCATGGTCTTTTTCTAATCAATCTATATTATTACACTCACAACAGAATCAACCAGGCATCCCACCAATTCTCCTCCTCCTTCTAAGGCACGGAGAGGCCAGCTTTTGTAGCAATGCTTTCACGGGTTGAATCTGTTTTACAATACTCTTTTCCCCACATGCAAAAAAATAACATTTGATTTTTCCCTGCAAAAATGGCACTGAAATTTGGTTTTGGTTAATAAATATGTTATTAATGTTAAGCAAATGTTAAGCAAAGTATTCAGAAATCTTGAGGGTGCTACATGGCTTTTGGCCAACAGATGCCACTGAATAAGGAGCACCAAATTTTATAGCCTCAAGGCTTTCTTCCTAAAGCAATGGAAGCTAATTTTAATGGATAATTATTTTAGAAGACTTTGTATGGATCCCATATTACTTTTGAGTGCTGCTAAATGAATTATACTTTAGGGTCCTGTATTTGCTAAAGTAATATTTTATTACAAAACTGCATTTTTTTCCTTAAAAGAATATGCTCACTCTGACAAGGACCTTGTCAAGACTGGTGCCATGACCAATCACACTGCAGTCCCACCATAGTTACAGCCTTACATTGACTGCATTTACAGGCGACAGTAAGCAAAGGTTTTGGGAAAATTATGACACATTCTTGAAGAGCTTTGTGGAAGCATATGCAGCCTATTTGCTTCTGTCTGTGTCTGGATCTTCATTTTAACTTAACTAGCTAAACTAACCAGGAATTGAAAGCTTACCTTCACATCCAAACTGAACCTTTTGGTTTGTTATACAGAAAATATTTATAAGCCCAAAACAAATCCTGGTTAAAACTGAAGAAGAAAAAAAGCTTAACTACCTAAAAACCTAGGTGCAGACAACAGAGAAATCCTGGATTGCCCAGCTTGTTGCACTAGCAGGAGAAGCCACATGAGTACCAACAAACTGCATGCACTATAGCTTGTTCAGAAACCTGGCTTGCTGTTGGATGCCAGCATAGTCAATATGAAGGCTAGAACACAATGGCTGCATTGGTATGATGAGGCTAGTTCATACGTCATCTGTATTTTTACAGTCCATCCTGCAGTGAATCTCTGCATGGGAAAGACTGACACTTGGAGGAGGTGAGATTAAACTAAAGTTGAAGCAAGCAGTTCAAAAGTGTATGTGTGGGAGAGAGAGACAGGAAGAAAGAGAAAGCTATCACATGTTGTGGCATTCAAAAAGATTCCACAGTTTAGGGTAGAGCCGAGTTACTCTGAAGACAAATGGAATCTTTACCTGTTTGAGAAAGAAAGATGGGAACTTAACGAGCTGGTGAAATACAGGGAGGCAGCTGCACTAATTTTGCTGTACTTCCTCACTAAGCTAAATGGAAAATGCTGCAGATGACAAATGGAAACAGTTTTGCATTCGAACTGCGTGCGTCCAAAAAAGTTTTGTTTAATCTATGATTTTATATTCAGGGAAAATGTGAAGCAAATATTGTTCTGCAGTCAAGCATAGAGAAGTGTGAAGTAAGCATATTCAGTTACTAAAAAAGTAAGTACATTAATTCTGCATACATCATTAAATACTATTGATGATTTTTGAAAGAGAAGCAAAGTGTTTAGTTTTTTCTTCTTAACCGCGTTAATGTTAACGCATCTGCTTCTTTTCAGTGATGTAAACAGATTTCAAATAGCTACACGGAGCCTGTTTAGAGCCCTTGTCACTTCAAGAAAAATCAGTGATTATTATTACAGGCTTATATCCATACTAGGAGGGATTCCACTAGCATACTCTTTTCAACACAGTTTTAATAAAACACAAATAGAAAATTCAGTCTTTTTTATATTGGTTCTATACTTTTCTCCTGCTCAAATAGTAAGAGGTAAATTAACTCAAGAATGTCTTGGGCCACCAAGATAAATGTTTAAAGGGATGCATAACAACAGTCAGTGTGTTGCCTGAGCGCATGGAGGTCTCCATGTCGCAATATTAGATTCCACCATGAAGCTTAAATGGTTGGCCCTGGGCAAAGGAATAATATACACATGCCTGTTATGAAAATGAGTTCCTCAAGTCTCTTGGAAACAGAGTAGGATGTAAGTAAGACAATCGAATGTGTATCCCAGCCTCCCCTTATTGATTCCATATGCTACTGATTCTCAAAACATTATTTTTTGTAACAGGAAGCCTGCAGACTGGCCAACAGCAGGCTTAGAGCAGTGGAATGGGCTCAGGAGGAGTCTATGTGAAAGGCTGCAATTCAAGGATGAATCTTTAAGAAAGTTCGGGATCTAGTGTCTCTAGAAATCCATCCCAGTACCCAAAGATCTTAGCCCACAGGTGCTGATCAATATCTTTGCAGATCAGTAGTAATTTGCAGCTGTGCTGGATAGCAAGGACTTTTCTTGTGAATTCCCTCATAAGGTGTATGTAAGGTTCCATTGTCTTTCACTGCTCTACACTCTTTCCATTCACCTTTTCCTCTGTCCGGATGCTTTGTAATATGTGTGGCTTTTCCCTGTTCATTCTATTTCTCTCAAATAGGCCAAATGATGATCAAAAACCAGATAAAACATGGCAGCTGCATTCAGTTAACACTGTAGTGAAGTGTGATGTTCATATCTATGATTCAATGCATCTATAATTTCAACACAAAGACAGAATTTCCTTTTTTCATTTTAAGCATCATCAAATCCTTTGTATCAGCTCAATGCTAACCTTAAATGTTTAAGAAACATTACCTTTAAAATTGTAATATTCCAGGTGAAACTCTCCACTGATTTTTGTAGTTTTCTCTCTTTTAAACCTTCCTTTGCTCCTATACTTTGTAAATTTTCATGGAACTCCATTGCTAGGGAAAGGGAAAAAACATTTTAATCCTCCTATTCCACTTCAAAATTTCTTGCCAGACTATTTTTTTAAAAAGTGCATGAGCTTGCACTGTTAGCTATCAACAACTGATCTGGTAGAATACAAAACACACGAAAAACAGTGAATGTAGAATAGGAATTTACTTAATTTTAATTTTACAGTAAGAACATCTGATCCACTTTTGTCTCAGTCAGTGTAACCAGAAGCACAGCAAAACTCACTACTGTGCTTAAGAGACCCACCACCAGGAAGTCTGTAGGTCTGTTTGTGCCCCCACATGCACAAACAAACTTTTCTGAACTGGAGTCAAGACCTGCTTCCCATTAATCCCTGTACTCTCCCTGTTACTCTTACTAATTGGTACAGTTATGCCATTAAGTCCCATCAATTATCACTGAACCTAGGAAGGGGCAACATTCATGGACAATAAAGCATCTCAATGGTGCAAGCTCTACTGATATGGACTGAGCCCTAAACCTGCACCATTATTTGACTGCATGGTGATGCCTTTCACCAACATTGCTTAGAGTGATCACTAGAAGGTTTCCAAAAGAGAAATCTGGATGAATATCTTGCTTTGGCAAATTTATCTGTAGAATGTACAGGGAAGCAAAAAAAAAAAAAAAAAGTTTGAATAACACTAGTGAAGCTCCTCAAAGGCTATTGCACAACTGAAAACAAATATTTTCAGTTTACAACACTAGAGAGTGGGAAGCACTGAACCATATCATACATATAATTTACTTCATTTCAGACCCTGTAAATAGGAAATGCGATGGACAAAGGATGTAAGACTCAGTGGCTCGGTCCATACAACAACACAAGGCTGGGTTGTGTTAGTATTCATCTCAAAGCAAACAACTGCACTGCTGTATTTTAAAGCAGCAGAACTTGGCCTAGGTGGACTATTGCACCACGGACTATTGGGAGAGGTGGAACAAGACTGTTAAAACTCCAGTAGATAACAAGTTTAACAAACATCATTGGTTTCCCCTCAGCATGTCTGCTTCTATCCAATCCAAGACCATTTGAGATTGTGTAAACATTGTGAGATTTTTAAAACTGAAGTAATATATATGGATTCCTGGTGCAAAAGCCACCATAAAGTAGCAGTAAGATTTTTAATAGTGTCACTTTCCCTGTATTTTACTGTGTAAGGGTCTCCACAGCACAGAATACCAGTTTAAAATGGTGTCTATGTATTCTCATCCAAAGCAACTGTACAAGGCTTTTAAAAAGCAAGTCTTTGCTAATTTTAACACACTTTCTATCTTAACTGCTTAGGTATACTTTGTAAACATGGATAACTGCTTATTAAAAGTGGGCAAGAAGAACTCCCAGAATAAAAAGGGTTATCAACAAGTATTACATGAAAAATATGTAGCAAAGTAAGACATTAGTGCTTGGTTCAATGTGTTGATCAAGTCTGGCAGTAGTGACATGTGGAAAAAAAAGAAAAAAGAAAATCTGCCCACACCAGACTAGGAAGGAAACAAGTTTGAAAGCAACAAGGACAATGCCCTCCTTACAGCCCCCAAGTAGGATTTCTTCAGGACAACTATCCCACAATTGCGTTGTATTGCAATTACTGGAAATCTAAAGCTAGAGTCATGAATCATAATCTGATTTGGGAGTTTCAAAGAACAGTTAACAGTTTAAATAGCTTTTCACTTTACAATAACATCCTTATATAACAAACATTTCATTACTTTGCCGTTCTTTCTCTTCAAACAGCAGTTCCTCTTGATTTCTATTTGCTGCTTTGTTATCAATCAAAATGTGATGGGCAGAATGCATGAATTAACATCTAATTCCTCTAGCAATCTGTTAATGCAAATACTTCTCTCATAACCGATGTAACAAAATGAAACAAATTGTGCTTTTCTTAATTCATACCTACTAAATTCTGATGGATTAGATTGAAGGGCTACACTCTGCCAACTAAACAAGGTTCCAATTAATGACAGATTTTATTTTACAACACAATGGCTTCCACATATTGTTTGCAATTTCAAGTAGGCATCAAAGAAATGCAATCTCAGGGCCTTTAAAAAGCTTTGTGCCTGGCTCTGAATTTTTCCTAGGTCTTACATAGTACTCAGAAAGATTCTTAAATAGAAGGCTTTGGGAAGAACACGTGTTCAGAGAGGGGTCACTGCAGGAAGCAAAGAAGAATGAGTTCTGTTGGTAAATGCAGTGAAAATGCAAAAGAAATGGCAAGTTTCTAATGGAAAGAAGCAAAATAATGGCTATGCAGATTGCTTTATATGGTCAATGGCTCGTGGATATCATTTCAAGTCATTCACAACTGCTTCATTTAGAGCACTAGACATTCCAAATAATCTTGGTGCTGTTTCCAAACAGATTCCAAATAGACTAATGATTCTCATGACTATGTAGTATGAGTGTTGAAAAAAAGTTGTATCTGGCAACAGGTCTCTTAAAGGTGTCTTAGTGTGGATTTCCTAAAATCAATGGGTTTTTTATTGCATGGAGCAAAAACCCAAACGATTAATTAAACCATCATCAGATTAATGTGATGAACAGGTAGACATTCTTGATATTCTGTGTTAAATTGTATTAGGTTTCTCATGATATAGAGATTCCCGCCTTGATGTGGTGGCTGCGCCATGCAGCTCATTTATTTTGTCTTGCCATTTGATGTGATTTATTTCCAAAGTATGTCATCAGACATTTGTTGTGGCAGCTTGGAAACTGCAGAAATAAACTATACAGTAGCAGACAAACTTTATGCCAAACTGATACACACTCTGTGCCACTTCTAGCAGCTTGTGCAATGGAGCCTTCATTTCAAACATGCCACTTCATTGTGAGAATTCTCTTTAGAGCAGGTTCTAATCAGTTCCTGTCTGCGCTTGTTCAAACATGAGCTACAGCTACGGCTCCATCATTCTTCCACTGCGCTACTGATATAATGGGCTTCATTTTCCATTATCTTGGGATTCAAAAGATCCTTACAAATACTCTTAACTACTTCCACCAAACTTCACAAGGGAGATTTTCAGCTTCTATGAACACAAAGCAAGACATCAGAAAATGATGCACATGTAGTAGATCTCAAACATGACCCAGAAAAGCTGGATTTTTTTTGTCAAGAACTGCAATTCATTCCTCCTTGTTTGTTGGTCTCCAGAGAGGTTACAGATTAGGTAATTTACACAGTGCAGGTTTTTGGCACAAGAACAGTAAAATGATGGATATCCTTGAAAGGAACATAATCCTGAATACCTAGAAAATATTCAGAACTTGTAGGCATGCAACCTTAATTGCGTACACCACCTTTTTCTGGATATCACTCACCATCCTTTCAGGGATAACCGACAGGTATTTTAAAAAGCCCCTGTTGCTATGGTAGCAAACTGTGAGTAGAGCTTAATCACAAGTTACACACTTGCAGTACCATGAGGACCCCGCTTTTACGGAGAAAAGCTATCATTAGCAGAGAACTGATAAATGGGAAAAGGATGGAGGACTCATCTATCAAACTGTCTCTTTCAGAATGGCTTTTGCAAAAACAGAACACACAATCAATCTTTCCATTATATTTCTTTTTAATTTGCTTACCTACATAATATGTCTTTACTGTCTTATCTGTTTTAACTTCATACTGTTCAGCACTCCAGAATCTGTTTAGATATGGAGTGCTACAGAAAAACTGTAAATAATGTTGCTTTGTGTTTTCCTCCCAAAATTACTACGTACAGGAAACATATACAATAAATTCAGAAATGCGTTTTTCAAATAAAATGCATTTCTAAGTCTTGGTCCATTATTAGATATGTTCCCATGATAGTGTGTCAACACCTGTGGTGGTGTGGGATTGCTACGGATGCACTAGGGTAGACTGGAGTCCTATTAGCTGAGCCAGGGTTTTAACTCCTCTAAAACACAAAAGTGAGATCCATTTATTTTGGCCCAATCCATAAGTGTACCAGGCAGGCTCTACTCTGGCTTTTCCTGCATTTTTCCTTCCCCAGGTTATCTAAA